TTTTTTCTTGAATGGAATTAATGTATTTATGTTTAGGAAAACCTCAGTTTGATTCCCAACTTAAATCTATATGGTTAGGGTGAAGGCAAAGAAACTGTCCAACACTTAGAGTACATCAGCAAAAGGTCTTTGTCAGAAACACCAATAAAAACATTCAAAAGGCAGGTCAGCAATATATCAAGGAGATAGAAGCAGACATAGAGAAAGAAGCAGAGATACAAACTGTCAACCACAGGTTGCTCCATTCAGGAAACACACAGCCAGGCAGACGAGCTCTGAGATAACTCCCATGTCAGAGGATGAGGAGAGCACATACAGTTAGTCACAGTCAGAGAAACAGGACTACATTGAAAACAAGGCCAACATCTATAAACAAAGGCGTTAATGGTAGCAGAACAGCTGGTTATGATGAGAAAAAGCTGAGATACTATAAAGTTAGAGGTTGAATGAAGCAGAATGATGAAAAGGGTCCCTTTGTCCTCCAGCAGTCTAAGTCTATAGCAGCATAACTATAGAGATAGCTCAGGATAACCTGAGCCACTCTAACTATAAGCTTTATCAAAAAGGAAAGTTTTAAGCCTAGCCTTAAAAGTAGACAGGGTGTCTGCCTCACGGACTAAAACTGGTAGTTGGTTCCACAGGAGAGGAGCCTGAAAACTAAAAGATCTGCCTCCCATTCTATTTTTAGAAATTCTAGGAACCACTAGTGAACCTGCAGATTGAGAGCGAAGTGTCCTGTTAACAGGGCTTGGCCTTTTAACACTTTATATGTGAGAAGCATAATTTTGAATTCTATTCCGGATTTAACAAGAAGCCAATGAAGAAAAGTTAGGAAAAGAGAAATATGATCTCTCTTTTTAATTTACATTAGATCTCCGTCTGCAGAGTTTCACATCAAACATCTGCCTGATATCAGGCAAAAAGCAAGTATTGAATTATATTTGCCTTCCTCTAAAATCTAAAATAAATGTACACTTCTATTTAAAGTTAATGTAATCCATAGACCAATAATAAATGGCACAATGGTTTTCATAGATAATTTTAACTATTGTTCTGTTTATATAAAATCCCTGCATCAAAATGTATAAAAAAGAAATCTGTGCTGATATCGTAGCAGGTCAATATTGGCATCAGTTACTCGAAGCCGTAAAATTGACATTGCATCGAAAAATGAAATAGTTGTATCGGTAATATCAAATGGATATAAATTTGTATGAAGAACACTCATCGGTTTCGCTTCTTAGTTATGCTTTCCAATTTTTCTATTGTTAATCCTAATAATCAGATTTAGTTGTGGTTCTTGTAGTGAAAATAACAGGAATGACTTTAGAGAACTACTGTAGTTACTGGAAAAGTTTATAGCTGAAATGTAGTAATTAATTAATTACCACCAATGAATAAGCTTACAGTTAATGTCTGTACCTGTTTTGTCTGGAGGTGGGAACCAGGCCCACGCTGTCTCTGTACGGATAAGCAGATATAGATTCTGCTTTATGAAGCTGATCCAGTTATAGTTTTCTAAAAGCATCATTGTCATTATTCTTCTGCATTTAAGGATTATTATTATTTATTTCACAGGTTTTTACACGTCAGTAACCAAGGAGGATTTAACCTAATCTCTGTTATATAAACAACATCGTCGCCAGTCATCTTTCCTAATATCTGTGATAATCCCAGAAATCAAACAAGCGTTTTCTCCTTCTTGTGTCCATCTCCTCTTCTATTGCTGGTATCCTTCAGGACTTATTTCTCTCTGTGTGTGGTTTTTGTTCCTGCTGCCTTTGTGTTAACTCAGCAGGAGGTCTGACTGTAGTGAAGTCGACTTCAATAAGAACCTGCTGAGGAGGCGGGCCCAGCATCTCCACAGCAGGATGGCGGGGACTCTGGTCTGGTCTGTGTTAGACTAAAGAAAGATGTGTTTGTAGGTGAGCCTGGTATTTTAGCTGTAGTCGGTCTCCATGGACTGCACAGCCTTCTGGGGAAAAACGCACATTTTTTCCTTTGTGTGGTGATCAGAGAAACAAGTTTTCTGTCAAGGGGCGTTAGGTCTTAATTTTTCTTTGCAATGTAAATAGTACCTGTTCATCTTTTGTTCAACTGAGAAGAAAATGATAAACTGAATTTCCTTAGAATAAAACCACTTTAGATTTTCTGTCTTTTAGCTACAACTTTTTCATTTCCGATACAGGTATTGCACACTGGAAAAACGATTTAGAAATAAGTAAAAATTTCTTAAATTAAGTGTATTTACTCTTAATTTGAGTAGGTAAATGCGATAGTTTGACAATGGAATGAGTATTTTTACTCTTAATATAAGATAATCCGATATTATGCACCTGAAATAAGACAAGGCAATTGTGTTTTCTCATTTTAATTGTAAATTGTCTTGTTCCATTGGCAAAATGTCTCTTTTACCTCTTCAATCCTAGAACCAATGCACTTATTTTAAGAAAAAATTACTCATCTAGATTTCGATTTTTTCCAGTGCAGCTTTGAGTAGGGACCAATACCGATAATGACCCAATTTGATATCAGCACAAATCATGCTAAATTAACTTTTATTACTCATTTCATAGAGAATAATATTATTGATTAAGAACAGAGAATAAAAGAAAACAAAAAATGGTAAGAGAACATCTGAAACAGAAGAGGAGTCTTTCTAACAGCATGCACATTTTGGAGGTTTTAGATGCATATATTCTGTTATTAGTCTTTTGGCTGATATCAGATTCATATATGATATCAATTTCAGACCAGAAATCCCTCTAATATAGTCTCTTTGGATATTATTAAGCAGTCCTTTTCTGGGGACTCAAGAATACATCTGTTGTCTGAGCAATTCTGTTTTGATTATTGTTTCTGCATGTCTGAGGTCTTTTCTGTCTCTCTGGTTTTTGTTTGAGGACGTCAGGGTTTTGCTAAATAAATACCTGTTGGGTTTTAAAATGTTATGTATGGTATAGTTACGACATGCCTGCAGTTACAGTGAGAAACCACTGATCTGGGTGCAGCGATGGACTCAAACCTGATCCTTTAGACGAACATAAAGAGTAACAAAGTCGACCTTGTATCACCTGTAGACATTTCCAGGATTAAAGCACTAATTGCTCATCAGGATCTTTACTTCAGTCTATTACTGAAATGGTGTTATATATTTGTTAAGAGTCAGAAATAAACTGTTGAGGAATGATCTCTCTTTATACATCAGATGAGCTTCTTTAATGTTTAATTATAATACTATTTTGAAAACAACTTCAGTATTCATTCATTTTTGGCACTGACATTTTCTCTACCCTTGTTTTTTGGTTTTATTGATCTAATTTTTTGTTTAATTGTTCTTATTTTTCAATGCTTTCAGCATTTTTAATTTTTAGTTTGCAACACACCTTTTTGCTATATCAGTCTATTTTCTTCCTTGCTTTGTAGTTCCCTTTGTGCTTCAGCTTCCTCTTTGTTAATCAGTCATCTTCCGCTGCTTCCTGCTCTGTACTCCTCAGCTGTTATTAGACTCATCTGGAATTTTTTAGCTCTTGGTTTCTATTGTTCTCTATTGTTTTCTTGTGTTTCATCATCCTGCTTTCCTTATACGGCCCTGGAAATTCTTCGCTAAATCCTAATGAATAGCTCTGCTGCTCCTGTTACTATATATAAACATCATACTCTATGAAAAAATAAGAACATTTATAATAGACACAATAAAAATAAATAGTACCCAGTAATCTTAAATTACTTTATATAAACGAGAACCTGACTGACCAGCTTTAAATGGAAGTTTTTTTTTCTCATGTCGGGAGCTTTCATATCAGTCTTGCATTATTGAATACCAGAAAGTGGCCATTTATGCATTCATTTACGAATGACAGTTAAGATAAATATGCTGTTGGAGTCTACTGTAAGTAAGCGGTGTATATGACTCCAGTTAACTGCAGGTCACCAGCTGCAAAACGAGGTTAATGCTTTTCATTATTCTGACTAATATAAACAAGACATTAAGGTTTCAAAAGCTCAGGAAAACATAATAAATCCTCTGTGTGGGAAAGCTGTTTATCTCTCCCCTTGTTATTCAAAATGTTGCCTGCAGAGCTGGAAATGTTCGCTGCAGCTCTATGCGCGCTCACTTTCCTCTAAGCTGATATCAGAGATGAGATAATGAAAGGCTGTCTGTGGAACAGGTGGTCAAAGCTGATATCACCACCGTCTCTCACACTCATACTCTCTGGGGGAAAAAAAAGGAATTTTGGGAGATTTGAAGGATTAGGAGAAACCATTAAGGTTGCATTGCACTGCTGAGTTAGAATGGGTGGACATGTCTTTAAATTCATATTACAAATGTTTCAGGAGGGGGGCATGACAAAGCATTTTGCTGTCCTAATGGGCCTAAAGCAGAAAAGGTAGTTAAAATGTTAAAAAAAACAGCTGCCAGGGTCTTAAAATTGTATTTTAAATATCATGTTTTGCAGCAAATACTTTTGATCTTTCTCATAGGAAAGGCTAAACACCATAAGTTTTCATCAGCCACATTATTAGATGATTTTGAGTTTGATATACATTGTAAAAAACGTTTTTGGGATACTTATACAAAGCAGATTAAAGGGATCATTCTGACTTTTTGAAGTAATTTCCTGCCAAAAGGTTAGCATCCTCATTATCACTGCCTAGTTTTCAGTACAAGTTTGAATTAGTTGTTATTCTTTTGTTGTCTGACACTGTTGCTTCTCAATGATTCCAAGAAAATGTCCCGTTTTATAACATTGAACAAGATATTGATTCATGTCTCTAGACACTTATATGTTATTAGTCTTATTTTATCATATCCATCATGTTTTCTGTTTTTCAAATTTTATTCCAGCTCTAAGTCAATGGGGACTTTTAATTGGATTTTTTTATTACATTTGACAATATTTCAGGTTTGTTCTTGGGAACTTTGAATTTGAGAAAGTAAACATATCTTGGAAACATTTAGTGTCTTTCTTATGATGTGTTTGTCTTCTGCTTTGCAGGATGTCCACTATCCGCACCGTCTTAAAGAGAAACTCCGTCCGGACAGCAACAACAATGAGAACTCTGTCCCAAAAGACTTTGACACCATCGACAGCAACAGCAACCTTGGAGCGCGATCGCAGCGCCAGCGACCACGAAAACTGGAAAAGAACCAAAGCATGATTGGAAATGACGTCCTAAAGCATGTTCCCATCCTCCCTAAAGTTCACAACCAGACCCACAATCAGAAGGCCCTCCCACAGCTTCTAACCCATCCAGTGCCGGCTCCGGGATCCAATCAGGATCCCCCGTTTTCTCATACAAAGAGGCCCGGTTCACCTCTGTCGCCGCCGGGTCTGGAGCCAAACAAGGAGCAGCCACAGTGTGAAATCAATGGGAAAGAGGCCATTTCTGCTCTGTCCAGAGCCAAGAGTCGGGAGTGCCGGCAGCAGATAGTGGAGGTTTACTGCAAGCACAAAGAGGGGGCACTGATTCCTGAGAAGGTCCCTCGTTACTGCCCTGTGGAAGGTGAGAGCATCCGGGAGGAAACTTAGTCAGTCTTTGAGTTTAGCATGTAGGAAATGTTAGAAACCAGCTGTGGCTTCAGATGTTCTTCCTTCTAAATTTACCCTTTGAGGAACAATTTTAGCAGAGCGAGTTTCCTTGAAGGAGAGCCCCATCTCTGTGGTCAACAGCTCTATTTTCAGGGCATGAAGAGACGCAGAGAGGACGCTGCTCATCCGGGGTAATTACACCCTAATTAAACAACCCGTTTGTAGTCCTATTCTAGAAGGGCTGACTAATGACTCCCTCTCAGAGCCACCCCAGGGCCGCCGAGGGTTACTTCATATGATTATAGGGTTCTTTGATGATACAGTAGTCATTAGGTCCAAAGAGACGTAGAAATTTTCAGGCATTTTAGTCCACGTCAAAGGGCGTACACGGCTCAGCAGAACCTCCTGATTACAGATCCAGTTAATTTCCCAGCATGGCCCACAGCCAAGAGGTCACTCATTTGTTCTAGAAAACCTCGACCCGGCCATTTTAGTGAGAAGGTGGAGCATCACTGCCTCTAGAGCATAAAGTTCAGGCCTTTGCCCCAGCTTTCTTCTTTTTGTTACATAACAATAGCTGTCTTTAATTCATTTTAATTGGGTTTAATGTAATAGACCAGTGCCAAACCCATGATACATGTGAAAGAGATGCAGGGACCTACAGCCCAGATGAGATAATCTAATGATAAAACTGTTAACCATGCAATCAATACTCTAAACACACGATCCCCCTTCAAGCACGGTGTTGGCAGCATTGCCTGCTTCTGCTTTTAGCCGGACAAACATGCAGCTTTTAAATTGAAGAATTTGGACAAAGTGGTTAAAGCCCAGAACTTGATTCAGTTTAAAGTCTGGATTCGGCTCTATTCTTCTTTACTAAACACCAACATTAAAACAGTTTTCTAAACACTATTCAAGTAGCCTGACGTAGTCCGACTCAATTCTAGTCAGAATTAGTCTGATACTGCTCCATAGAGCTGTGATTATGGGGCGTGTTTCGAACGAACCAGGAAAAAAAAATGCCTCTGCACTCAATTGGATAGACCTACAACCAATAAGAGCAACGGAGTGCGTGACGTGTGTTAAGCGAGGCATAGTTGTTGTCCACAAAAATCAAAGCGTGCAGTTTCGCGCCTAGAATGAGAAGATGAGACTTGATCGCGTTTCTCTGTTCCTCTTTTAAAATTAATTTGCTGTCGATATCTTCTAGAACAGACCTAATAGCAGAATCTACACACCCAAACTCTCCAGCGGCAGCCATTATTGTTGTCACCCAAGCGCGCTTTGATGACGTGGTTGATTACGTTACTGTTGATCATCTGTCCATCATCGTATAAAGCCCGCCCTGACAATTTGATTGGATCGCCTGACAGTGGGCTTTAATACTCGCGCTACTATGGAGCAATGCCAGACCAAACTTCCCCGAACTCAAACCTTGTGGGTGGGACTAAGTTCGGACTGGCACCCAGGCTACTATTCAAGTGTTTCCTCTTAGAATCAAATATCATTTTGTGCTCCTTCAACCTGGATCTTAAACTTTTTGTCTTTCTTTTTGCACCTCTGCCATAGAGGCCAGACTTTCTTAGCCTCATTACTTCCTTGTTTACCTGTCGTGCACATTCACAATATCATACCTCCAGTCACGTGGTGTGAATGTAATTATACACAAAAAAAGTTTTGTTTACTAACAAACTGAGCAAAAAAAAAAAAGAAGAAAATAATAGCCCAGTAGGATGCTGTTCAGAAGAACCTTGTTTGCAACCGGAGTGAGATACTGGTATTTATATTAAAGTGCAAAAGCAGACCAAACCAGTTTGGTAAAGGTTTTATTAAGATAATTAATTACAGCTTTTTAGGCGTCTTGTTGCATTAAATCGAACTGAATCCTATCAGCCCTGTTGTCCCTAAAATAGACCTTACTGCATTGTGCCACAATGAAACTCCATTAATTACAAAAAGTTGAGGAACATTAGGGGCTACAGCTGAACTGTTGCTTTGCAGCCATCTTTTCACAGTAGTCGTAGAGCTGTTTTCTTTAAACCTATGCTTTCATGTTATCTGACCTTTGACCCACCTCCTTTCCTCTCTGTCCAGGTAAGGCTAATGTAAACATTCAGTGGGATGACGATGCGACCCCCAAAGGCTCTCCACCAGTTCGCATCGCCTTTGTTCTGGTCATCCATGGTCGCGCCTCACGTCAGTTTCAGAGACTCTTCAAAGCCATTTACCACACGTCACACTTCTATTACATCCACGTAGATCAGGTAAGGACCTCAGGTTGTATTCTTCTTCATCATAAACATTCACAGCAGGCGGACGGGTCAGACTGTTGGATTTAAAATACCTTCTAAATCTGTAGGCACGGTTCGGAAATGTAACCCAACACATTTTTTTGCTTTTCAGTTTGGGATACTTTACAAATGTCTTTCTTTCCACTTTACATCCAAGGTCCTATTTTATTGAAGTTTTATATGACAAACCAACACGAATAACTGGAGGGAAATAGAACATGACATTCAACAGTTTTTATGTGTAATTATCTGAAAAGTGCGGCATCAATTTGTACACTGCAAAAACCATCTAGAAATAGGTAAAAATTTCTTAAATTAAGTGTATTCACCCTTAATTTGAGTAGGTAAATGAGATAGTTTGCCAATGGAATGAGTAATTTTACTCTTGAAATAAGATATTTAGATAAAATGCACTTGAAATAAGACAATGCAATTGTGTTTTCTTATTTCAAGTGTAAATTGTCTTGTTCCGTTGGCAAAATGTCTCTTTTACCTCCTCAATACAAGAACAAATGCACTTATTTTAAGAAAAAATTACTTATCTAGATTTAGATTTTTTGCAGTGTATTTAACTCCTTGGTGATATGCAGAACTGCAGCTGGAATTGCTCATAAATGTTTCTCGTTTTGCAAAACAAACTTAACTTAACCAGACTAGAAACGGACAACTGTCACAGATTATAGAGCAGATTTTTCTTGAAAAGCCTTCAAGGTTGACTTGGCCGTGCCAATGCATGAAAATTCCTTAATCTAAATTGATCTATTTAATTCCAGAATTTTCTTGTATTTAGCAACACCATCATGTTTCAAGAAGCTGACTTCAGTGATAATTTGCTGCCTTGTTTAGTTTTCCTTTAGTTCTGATGAAGAAAGTGATTTTAAAGCTTGTCTTCAGTATTGGATTTCTTTTTAGATGTTGTGTCCTTAAGTGTTGATATTTATAAGCTGTGGAACTCTACAGCTCCTCCAGAGTTACCATAGTCCTCTTTTGTCCAATGCTCTCCTTTCCCAGCCTTTCAGTTTAGGTAGATGTTCATCTTTGCAGCTCTGTGATTTCTCCATCGTCTTTGTCCATAATCTGGGATAGAACCTAACTTTACTTTAAATAGTGCTGGGCATTTAATTGCATTTGCAATATAATCATAATTTAATAAAATCCAATTTTCAAATAGCAGAGGCACTTTTAGTCCCATTATATTTGGCAAAATTAAAACCCTACATTTCTTACTGCAGCTCTTTAAGTAGCAGTAAAATTCTTAAAGTGAGTTTGCTGCCACACAGAAAGGTAAACAGAGTTGGAGGTACCACACAGATTCATGCATGCAAGTAGAAGGAAGCACTTTTCCACAAAAATGTAACTAAAATCCTCGAACAATGAACTCCTTTCAAGCAAGCTTTCAAAAACTGAAAGCCTGCGATGAAACAACACAAGCTTGACATAAGCGTAAAGGAATATTGAAATAAAATAGCAGTATTAGTGAAAATAATTGTAATTTTCTGGCAAAATCATTCATGCTTAACTTTAAACATCTCAGAACCTCCCTTCTGACCTTTCTAATGGATTCCTTGGTCTTTATGATTCTTTTTTTGTTTGTTTCTTTTCAACGAAAAAACCTCTGAGGCATGAAACAGGCTCTGTTACCTGATAAAGTAACTTCTCAAGGTATATTATTGAATTGGAAGATAAAGCAAAGGCTCAACAATTCTACACATTTTAATTTGTAAAAGTAGTATTTACCATTTATTGTTTCCTTTAAAACTAGAAACGTTAAAGGGGTGTGAATACTTTATCAATGCACTCTATTCCATAGTTTTATCTCCAGCCGCATTACTCTGACCTGTAATCCTGTTGGTTGTTCCATTAATGTGACTGTTTAAATGACCTCTCCTTGTTTGTCTTCATCCCCCTCAGAGGTCAGATTACCTCCACAGAGAGGTTCTATCTCTGGCAGATCAGTTCCCAAACGTCAGAGTGACTCCATGGAGGATGGCCACTATCTGGGGTGGAGCCAGTCTCCTCACCATGTACCTACGCGGCATGGATGACCTCCTCAAGATGGCTGACTGGTCTTGGGACTTCTTCATCAACCTCAGCGCTGCTGATTACCCCATCAGGTGAACGGCTTCAGGTTCAAAAAGAAAAAAATGTTAAGGAATAACTTTCCATTATATTCAGAAACAGAACCCGGGATTAATCTTTAATTTTCTTCAATCTTAATGCTTTATTAGATAAAAAATCATCTCAGCATTTTAAGGCATCAAACTCGAGTACTAAAGACCTTAGTAAGGTCTTCACTCTCCTTCTTTGGGTTGTTCTGAGTGACTCTGTCCTAATCCGGTTCCAGTTCCATACCTTTCTTTCTTCCAGTCTGACTGTTAAAAATGTGCCGTATCAAATCAGACTTTCTGAAAACCTACAAACTTTTTTCAAATGTTCAAGTAGCTTTTTTCACCCATTTTCAGTCCAATTTTTCCAAATAATATTTGTAATGAAAAATTAGTGAAACTTTAAACTACCTCAACGGGCATTTATCCCTTTAGTCATGTACAAAAAAAACAACTTAATTACTTACTTTTTGGTGATTTTTTAAGCGTATTTGTTTTTTTTTTGTACATGGCTAAGGGGATACACACCCATTGAGGTAGTTGAAAGTCAATTTATTGTACAAAACTAAAGGAATAAACGCAAATTTGACGTCTTGCACATGCTTATTGACTATGCTGGTTATGACGAAGTATGCTCGTCTGACAGAATAATGGCAGATTACATCATTATAAAAACTAGGACCATTTTCAGAGTTATAGCTACTGACACGTTTGATAAAAAAGGATGATTAAAAAGTAATTCAGTAACTTGGTCAAAGAAAAACAGATTGAAGGTTTTTCTAATCTGACAAACGAGCCTCATCAGTGCAAATACTCTGATTTATTGAATCTAACAGTGTGTCAATTGATATCTCACCATTGCTATCAAATGTTCTTTTGTACTTTTTATCACTATCATTAATTCACCACACATATTGATGCTATTACACCTTCCAGCAAAAAAGGTTGGAGTCTTTTTGGATAAAGTTTGCATTTTCTCCTTTTGTTCTCTCCGTATACGCTGCTTTTCTCCCACATTCAAAAAAACATGGATGAATTAAATCTTTGTTGCTGAGCAACATATAAGAGCAGTGCAGCAGAACTGGCAATGATTGTAAACTGGTGAAAATTCTTGTAAATATGTTGCATTAATATTTATGTTGATGATCAACATGCACTTTGATTCTGATGTTTAGTGTAAAGCATGGAGACAACTCTGGCTGTTTGGAAAGGAAGTACAGAGAAATGAGGAAGAAAGCAGCTGTTCTGCCTGCTGTTGACACTAAAGTATCAACATAAGTCAAGATTATTAGTTTGTAAGTAAAACAGTGATGTTAAAGCAAACTATTGCAGGAACCGACAATAAATACTGATGTTTGGAAGGTTCAGGCTGAACTAAATGCCTAATCCTGAGAGAGAGATTTGGACCCATCTGTGCCGCGTGATTCTGCTCATTGTTTGGGTTTTTCCATGCTGTTTCCTCCCTGCGGTTTGTCCTCATAAGGACGGAAAAACAGCAGATCAAAGAAACTAATCACCAGCATGAGAGGCCGAACATGCTTCCAGCTAAAATCCATACCGCAGCATCAGCACCATCCATCCATCGATAGCTGTGGGGTCACATCCGCTCATGGAAAGGATTCGGTAAAACAGAACAGGACAGGACAGTTTCTTCCTGCAGGTCAGGAGAAGGTCAGATAAATAATCCTGCTTTAAACTGGGTTCCTAAACTTTATTTCTATGTGGAAATGCCCCCGCATTAAGTTGGCCAAGTTCCTTCTTCACTGTTAATCTCTTTTAGAAATGTCTACATTGGAGATGTACTTATAGAGAATGGAACAAGAAATAAAAACAGATATTTGTGCTCTAATTTATAATTTTCAGATTTCCTTCAGACAGATTTGGAAAAGAAAGAAAGAGGGTCCTATTTCGTAAAGACAGAACAACCAGAACATCCATTTTCCGTTTCTTTTCCATCTTCACAACAGCAGAGTCACACAGCAACCACTGCAGACAGTAATCGGATGTAATCAGGAATAACCAACCGGCGGTCCTGTCTCATCAGACCAATATCTCTTTGAGTCATCAGTTTCCTCATCAGGCTTCACTCAGCAGTCGGTGAAACAAATCAGTCCAGCTTTGACCAAACAAGGAAACACGCTTCCCTTTAATGGAAGACGCTTCCTTCAAATGAGGTCGTATCCTGTTATAGTTGAGACCATTAAAGATAAACTCCACTTTAAAGTCTGGAAGAAAACAGCTGTGGGGTTTCACCAAGTTTACTTCCATCCTGAGGTTGTAGCCTACATGTAAACACATTACATCATGACTGCTGCTTTACTGGTGAGAAGGAAAGCTTTAACAAAGGCGGATCCACAGCCAGGTTAAAATAATTTTGTCTCGTCCATCCATCCTTCATTCGTCCATCCATCCATCCATCCATCCTTCATTCGTCCATCCATCCGTTCGTCCATCCATCCATCCATCCATCCTTCATTCGTCCATCCATCCGTTCGTCCATCCATCCATCCATCCTTCATCCATCCATCCGTCTGTCCGTCCGTCCATCCATCCTCCATTTGTCGATCCATTCGTCCATTCGTCCATCCATCCACCCTCCATTTGTCAATCCATCGGTCGATCCATCCATCCATCCATCCATCCACCCTCCATTTGTCAATCCATCGGTCGATCCATCCATCCATCCATCCATCCATCCATCCTTCATCCATCCATCTGTCTGTCCGTCCGTCCATCCATCCATCCATCCATCCATCCTTCATCCATCCATCTGTCTGTGCGTCCGTCCATCCATCCTCCATTTGTCGATCCATCCGTCCATCCTTCCGTCCGTCGATCCGTCCATTCATCCGTCTATCCGTCCATTCATCCACCCTCCATTTGTCAATCCATCGGTCAATCCATCCATCCATTCATCCATCCATCCTTCATCCATCCATCCGTCTGTCCGTCCGTCCATCCATCCTCCATTTGTCGATCCATCCGTCCATCCATCCATCCATCCATCCTTCATCCATCCATCCGTCTGTCCGTCCGTCCATCCATCCTCCATTTGTCAATCCATCCATCCATCCATCCATCCATCCATCCTTCATCCATCCGTCTGTCCGTCCGTCCATCCATCCTCCATTTGTCGATCCATCCGTCCATCCATCCATCCGTCTATCCGTCCTTTCATCCACCCTCCATTTGTCAATCCATCGGTCAATCCATCCATCCATCCATCCATCCATCCATCCTTCATCCATCCATCCGTCTGTCCGTCCGTCCATCCATCCTCCATTTGTCGATCCATCCGTCCATCCATCCATCCGTCTATCCGTCCTTTCATCCACCCTCCATTTGTCAATCCATCGGTCAATCCATCCATCCATCCATCCATCCATCCATCATAAGGCAGTCTGTGGGCCAGATGAGTGGTGTACCCTGGGCAGGTCCTTAATTCTTTGTGAGGCTGATTTAAATTTCATTTACTAACTTTTTTGTTATGAAGTTAGGAACATAAATTTACAAATAGCCTAAAATTGTAGTTGTAACAACCCAGCTGGAATGTGTTATGGAATCTATTATTCAAATTGAAATATTATGTAGATTATTCTTAGTTTATTTTTTTATTCTATGTATTTATTGTCTGCTTGATCTTGTTTTTCTCACTTCCTGATTGATCAGGTTAATTTTTCCCTGGAAATGGATTGTTAATATTCTGCTGCTCCTCCTTAGGACCAACGACCAGCTGGTGGCATTCCTCTCCAGATACCGCAACATGAACTTTATCAAATCTCATGGCAGAGACAATGCTCGGTAAGAAACCAGGAACCTTCTTTTCTTAACTCTTTTCAGTTTTTTGTCACATTTGCTGAATGTCTTCTTTTAAATTTGATCAACAGGGATTTGAAACATTAAAGCTGTATAAACATCTGTTAATTTTCAGTATCTGTTGATAGTTTGCAGCAAAGTCCATAGATAAATCAGGGATTGGCCCAGCAGCAGATCCCTAAAATGCATTCTTAAAACAATTTTTAAAAGGCAAGGCAAGCACAATTCAGTACATAGACAATGCAAAGTGTTTTACATGATTTAAAATATAGGAAAATAAAACAGAATCAAAGCAAGTAGGAAAAAAATAAATATATAAATAAAATACAAAATGCAGAAACCAAAAAGAACATTAAAAACAGTTGGACTAAAGAAAATAAGAAAGTTGAACTAACTCAGGTGAACTTTTTAACTAGAACAGTCGAAGGCAATTATAAACAAATGTGTTTTTAGTCTTGATTTGAAGAAATTTAGGCTTTCCGTACTTTTAAAGTTTTCTGGAAATTTGTTCCAGATAAATGGAGCATAGGAACTAAATGCTGCTTCTCCATGTTTAGTTCTGGTTCTAGGTATGCAGTTTCCTTTTAAAAGAAACAGGTATTATTTCCATTTAGCTGCTGTTCATGCAGTTTAAAAAGGGTGAAAAACATTAGAAACAACAAGAATTGTGGTAACTTTCTTTCTCCAAGGACAAAAAGCAAAATCTTTTTGGAAGAAAGTTTGTGTTTTTTCTGCTTTGCTCCTTTAACCTTTTCTCCTCAGATCAGTAAAATGTTGGACGTGTCGTACTGTAACTCCAGGCTGCTTTGTTTCTTCCCAGCTTCATCCGTAAGCAGGGTCTGGACCGGGTCTTCTACGAGTGCGACACACACATGTGGCGTCTTGGAGACCGCAAGATCCCGGAGGGCGTATCCGTGGATGGAGGCTCCGACTGGTTCCTGCTCAGTCGGCCGTTTGTGGATTATGTAGTGAATTCCAAGGACGATCTGGTCAGCAACATGAAACGCTTCTACGCCTACACGCTGCTACCAGCCGAGGTACCAGACCCACAGACCCTTCATAAGATGATCTGTGAAACCAGGAATCATTTTATCACAAACAAGTTTAAACTAATTGTTTTGGTCCTTTTATCATTTTGTGTTTTTAAGACCTTTTATCCTTTTATCATTAAGTTGCATATCTTTTTTTTCATTAAGAAGAACATTTATTATATAAAACTGAAAATATATAAGGCTTTAATAAACTTTTTTATTATATGATATATAAGAATAATAACAAAAAAGGTTTTGGGGGGGTTATTGGTTAATTTTAAAAGTGTGTTTTATTAAAAAAAATAATATCTAGAAAGAATAATTAAACAATGTGAGGTTGGAAAAGGGAACAATTTTTATACCCTAGTTGTGATGCAAATTTAATAATCCACATTTGATTTGATTGAAAACCAAACGTTTCCAGTAAAATATTTTGGTTTAACATTTATTAAGTTAAACCATATTTTTTAATGGGTAGAAAACTAAACGTAAAAATGTAAATCCGGAAATCATGTTAGTTGGTGAAGTTAATGATGTTATAAATTTTTAATAGTTATAAGAAAGTAAAATAATGTAATAAAGAAGAGTTTTAATGAAGAGAAAATAGTTATTTTATAAGTAATAGAAGTAATAGATTTACCCATTCATTTGGTCTTTAAAAATCTAATAAAACAAAAATTATCTCGATTATCAATTTTTTATTTCTATGATATGATCATAAAATAAATTATTTGTAAAAACAGAAATAGTTTTAATTTCTATCAAAGTATCTTTTAAATCTTTGAATACAAATTGGCAATATTTAAGCAACACAACATAACATTTCTATAGAAGTTTTAGTTTATTTTAAGACATATTATGATTTTTATGGCCAATATGCATCATTTGAGGCTTTTTAATCCTGGCAGCTCTTCTCCAAAACCCACCTTTTTAAGTCTAAAGGGTCGGATCCATCACAGATTTAGTGATGTCAACCAGAACACATGTCAGAAGTTCCCTTAAAGGTATAGTGGAGGATTTTCTTTTTATGGGTGGATCATCAAAATAAGTGGTCCCCCTAATTGTCAATCAACCTGGTGATCTGTTTAGGTAAGGCTATCCTACATGCTCGTCCCCATTTTCCTATGTACAGTGGTCAGTCTGACATAGTAGAAGAATTGCACATCTTATTTCGGAAAGCTACCTTGTATGAGCAATGCACATAGCAACTTTTAAAGAGAGCGTGCATGAGGAGAAATGGGCTCCTGCAAGCTTTCGCACACGTTTAATAGGCGTTCCCTCTCGGGAGCGGGTACAGGGTTGTGCATGTGCATTTTTTTAAAGGTGGATAGGGCGGGTCTTTTCAATTTGCAAAAATCCTCCATTATACCTTTAAACATGAGAGCTAACCCTCAATAAATTGTTAAGGAACAAAACAGATTTAATTTTATCTGATCAAATATACTTTCGTTTTATGATATAGTATTTTCTGCTGGTCCAAAATGGGTTCCAGAGGTTCAAGCCCCACTCACACAGACCACAGTCCCTGAGCTGGACCCTTAACCCCATGCTGCTCCCCGGGCGCCGCACAGTGGCAGCCCACCACTCATCAAGGGGATGGGTTAAATGCAGAAAATTCATTTTGTTGCTCTGTACTTGTGACAGTGTAATGACAATCAAAAAGCTGAAAAAAGTCACAGGTCTAGCGCCCCTTGTGGCTAAAAGATAAACAGCATATTTTAAAATGAAATACAGTGAAATTTTGGAGCCACATTCAGCCAAAGTAAGCATTATTATTATATACTGTAAAAGTGTATTATAAAAATGAGAAAATGAAATTGGAAACAGGAATCTCCTTAGGAGTTTTTTTGTCTTGTTTTGGTCGGTGATATAAAGACATGTTTATCCTTCTCTCAGTCTTTTTTCCACACCGTTCTGGAAAACAGCGTCCACTGTGAGACCATGGTGGACAACAACCTGAGGCTCACCAACTGGAACCGCAAGCTGGGATGTAAGTGCCAGTACAAGCACATAGTGGACTGGTGTGGCTGCTCTCCAAATGACTTCAAGCCCTCAGATCTGCCGCGATTCCAGGTGAGATTCCAGCTGCCTACTTTTCCTGCTATCAGTTAAAATCTGATGAAATAAAATTTTGCTGTTTAGGATAGATATGGTCTTTAAGCGTTTTGTTTGTGCTGTTTGGTTTTAAGCTAATTAACCAGTTGGTTGGTGATCTCAGTGTGAGTAACTCTGTATAGCGATGCTTCTCGCTGTGTGTTTGAACAGCGTATTCCAGATGTTTGAAACTGCCCACCTAAAAAAGTATTTAGTCAGCCACCAATAGTGCAAGTTCTCCCACTTAAAAAGATGAGAGAGGCCGGTAATTTTCATCATAGATATACCTCAACTGTGAGAAACAAAATGAGAAAAAAAAATCCAGAAAATCACATTGTCTGATTTTTAAAGAATTTATTTGCAAAATATGGTGGAAAATAAGTATTTGGTCAATAACAAAAGTTAATCTCAATACTTTGTTATATACCCTTTGTTGGCAATGACAGAGATCAAACATTTTCTGTAAGTCTTCACAAGGTTTTCACACACTGTTGCTGGTATTTTGGCCCATTCCTCCATGCAGATCTCCTCTAGAGCAGTGATGTTCTGGGGCTGTCGCTGGGCAACACGGACTTTCAACTCCCTCCAAAGATTTTCTATGGGGTTGAGATCTGGAGACTGGCTAGGCCACTCCAGGACCTTGAAATGCTTCTTACGAAGCCACTCCTTCGTTACCCGGGCGGTGTGTTTGGGATCATTGTCATGCTGAAAGACCCAGCCACGTTTCATCTTCAATGCCCTTGCTGATGGAAGGAGGTTTTCACTCAAAATGTGACGATACATGGCCCCATTCATTCTTTCCTTCACACGGTTGAAGGAAAGAATGTCGTCCTGGTCCCTTAGCAGAAAAACAGCCCCAAAGCATGATGTTTCCACCCCCATGCTTCACTGTAGGTATGGTGTTCTTTGGATGCAACTCAGCATTCTCTCTCCTCCAAACACGACGAGTAGAGTTTTTACCAAAAAGTTCTATTTTGGTTTCATCTGACCATATGATATTCTCCCAGTCATCGTCTGGATCATCCAAATGCTCTCTAGCAAACTTGAGACGGGCCTTGACATGTACTGGCTTAAGCAGGGGGACACGTCTGGCACTGCAGGATTTGAGTCCCTGGCGGCGTAGTGTGTTACTGATGGTAGCCTTTGTTACTTTGGTCCCAGCTCTCTGCAGGTCATTCACTAGGTCCCCCCGTGTGCTTCTGGGATTTTTACTCACCGTTCTTGTGATCATTTTGACCCACGGGGTGAGATCTTGCGTGGAGCCCCAGATCGAGGAAGATTATCAGTGGTCTTGTATGTTTTCCATTTTCTAATAATTGATCCCACAGTTGATTTCTTCACACCAAGCTGTTTACCTATTGCAGATTCAGACTTCCCAGCCTGGTGCAGGTCTATAATTTAGTTCCGGGTGTCCTTTGACAGCTCTCTAGTTTTGGCCATGGTGGAGTTTAGAGTGTGACTGTTTGAGGTTGTGGACAGGTGTCTTTTATACTGATAACGGGTTCAAACAGGTGCCATTAATGAAGGTAACGAGTGGAGGCCAGAGGAGCCTCTTACAGAAGAAGTTACAGGTCTGTGAGAGCCAGAAATCTTGCTTGTTTGTAACTGACCAAATACTTATTTTCCACCATATTTTGCAAATAAATTCTTTAAAAATCAGACAATGTGATTTTCTGGATATTTTTTTCTCATTTTGTCTCTCATAGTTGAGGTATGTTTATGATGAAAATTACCGGCCTCTCTCATTTTTTTGAGTGGGAGAACTTGCACTATTGGTGGCTGACTAAATACTTTTTTGCCCCACTGTATCATTCTGGACATATGGAAAGGACTGGAAAACGGAACTAATCTAATCTTGAAAACGTAAAATAATTTATAAAAGAAAACCCAAAAAACAAATTCAAAATAATAAAAAAGTTAAGTTACAGCTATTTACCTTCATCTAAAGCAAAAGATCAATCCAAAGCTTACGTTCAGCTGCAGTATTTGGTTTAAAAAACTTTTCCTTAAAGTAAGAATTCACATTGGGTTGTTTTTGGAAATGACACTAGTGTTGAGCACTGGTGTCATTTCACGGGAGAAGAGGAAAACTCCACAGTCTGCTGCAGCAACACACAGGTCTTTTGTTTAGAGGCATGATGTCATCCTGGGTAAGAAAGTATTGAAGTTATTCTAAACAGGATTTCTTACTTTTTAGCAAGAAGAGGGACAACTGTGGATTCTTTTCATTCCCAGAGCAGATCTATTCAATTCAGTTTGTTTATATAGCACCAATTCACAACACATGTCATCCTAAGGAACTTTACAGAGATGACTGTATCAGATCATACAGTAAACCCAGTTAAATGTTCTCTATTTTAAAAGAAGGAGCTGCCTGTATTCAGTAATTGACTTTGTCGGATTCATTTCTCCTGGATGAACATGTGAAGACATTGTGTCACTGACTGCAGCAATTCATCACACTGAGCATGCATGCAGCGACAGTGGAGAGAAAAACTCCCTTTTAACAGGAAGAAATCTCCAGCAGAACCAGGCTCAGTGTATGCGGCTGTCTGGCGAGGCGAATGAGTGTCAGGGAGACAGAGGCAGACAGACAAAATAAAAGTAGGAGCACTTATCCATGAATACTGTCTATGTTAGAAAAGGTAACATTAAACCAGCTCAATAAGAGGTTCGGGGCTCCCTACTTTTTGAAAGCCTCTTTATTCCATCACCAGTGAGACTCCAATTCAACCATTTTTATTGCACTAGAAAAAAAGTATATTTTCTTACTCTTATGTGGATTCTCAGATTGAGTTTGAGGTGCACTTGGCCTGAGAACAAGAGTTCACACTGCGTCACAGATTCAGCCTGAATCACTCCTTCATAAACTGATTAATGAAGCCCATAGGGGCAACTGTGGTAAATAGAGGAAAGCTCATTTTACTTATCGGTCGATGATAATTGGATGTGTTGGAAAGAGAAAATGTATTAACCTTCTAAACTTGCACAATGCACTTTTAATACGGGGCAAAATAAATTATTCAAAAAAAAAACTCATTCAAAATGTCTGCTTTTGCTGCATAAGTAAAAAAAAAAAAACATTCCAAATAAAAAATTAGGTGATTCATTTGTCAATTTTATAATAGAAATTAAGTATTTTTTAAAAAACAACTTTTATGGGGGGAAGGAAAGAAAAAAAAAAGCTTTAAAAAGAAATTGTTTAAATGATTTACAATTACAAACAAAATTTGAAACTAAATCATAAGAAATATGCACAAAATACAGTTTTATACTAAATAAAGGGCTATATTCAACACTAACTATTCAGCTAATTACTTTTCATATATTTTTAATTTAATTTAAATTTGGATTGGGAGCTACATTTTTAACCTTGAAGAGAACTAGAAAAGTTCTGCCCATGATTCTGGACCTGGACATTTTGCCAACATCATCTGTAATATAAGAACCCCGCTCAGTGTTGTGGTTTTCGAGGATTGGATGATCAGAGCAATATACACTCTTTATTATGAGAGCGTAAAAATAAAGATGGCATTTAACCCTGAAGCACTGAAGAACAGCAGAAATCCTTTAAACATCCAGTTCGTTGAAGTGTTCAGATATAGTAGATTTGTTCCTTTTGGGGTCACTGTAGAAGCCCAGAATAGCACCGTATTCACAAATTAGCAGTGCTGCGTTTAGCTGGCTCCAGGGTCTTTGTAGTGGCGGATCTGAGGTCAGGGTCTGTGGACGGATTCTATAAGAGGTTCTAATCCTGGAAGCAGCTGTAGCCCCGAGGCTGCAGGTATTTTGGGATCCTTGTAGCTCACAGCCGCTGCGGTTTTCAGGGCTGGTATTATTCTAATGTTGGGGTTGGACAGTGAGAGGTGGCTGAATGTCAGACTCTGAGCCACACACGTACAACATGTACAGAGAAACACACACTGTCTACAAAAAAACATGAAACAAACTGAAAGGAAAATAGATAAATCCCTTTAAATGATGATGTTCTGTTGAATTTTTGTGACTGAAATGAGTCTAATCGTCTTTGACCACAGCAAGCCTCCAGGCCCACCTTCTTCGCCCGGAAGTTTGAGGCCAGCGTCAGCCAGGAGATCATCAGCCAGCTGGACGCCTTCCTGTTCAGAGCGTATCCGTCCAGCACCCCGGGTCTCCAGGCCTACTGGGAGAACATCTATGACCAGGAGACGGACGGACTCTCCAGCCTGTCCGACTCCACTCTCAGCCACTTCCACGCCTTTTCCCGTATGGGACTGAGCCGTGCTGCCGGGTCGCTGCAGGGACATCCCAACGACCACAGCTGCAGGTACAAGAAGGTGGAGAAGACGTAAAACATCTTCCTCCTTCTCTCATGTTTCTTGATTAAAATGAATTTATGTCTTAAAAACACAAAGATCCATGAAGCATCCTGTTAATCCACAGCTTAAATATTCAGGCAAAAACCCAATTTAGGTCCATTTTTACCCTACAAAAAAATCTAATTTTATTGAGTCAAATACATCTGCATCATCATCCAAAAGTTAATTTATATAATTATCTATAACAGGAGAAACGGATGTATTTAATAGATTTTGTAAATAAAGAATAATGAATTAGATCATTTTGGTTTACAGCATTAAATCTAATTATTCTCATTATCAGACCAGTAAAAGGATTTCTGCCTGTTAATGTGAATGTCTTCTCATTAGGCAGTATATTCACTCAGGTCTCGGTTGGGGCTGTTTTGGCCTTTACTGCATCAGTCCTGTGTGGGGTTCAGGAAGTTGATTTAAAGGAAAAGTTCAGTTACATTCAGAATACAAACTTCTAAAAGTACTTTAAATATGAAATTATTACATACTTTTAATAAATCCATCCATCCATCCATTATCTGACACGTTTGTCCCAATTGGGGGTTGCAAGGGGTGCTGGTGCCTATTTCCAGCAGTCAATGGCCGAGAGGCGGGGTACACCCTAGACAGGTCGCCAGTCCATCGCAGTTTTCAATAAATAACTGGTTTTAATTAACAGTAATTTTCATGTGAATGTGCTTTACTGGAGGCATCCATGTTTGTCAAAGAATACTACTGCCACCTACTGGTTTATGACGTCACGGTGCGGTATCGGCTGTTGATCAAGTCCCAGTGCTGTATCTGGTGTTTGTCACAACGCGCTGTTATCCATGATGGCGTCGACCAGTGCACTATGCAAAGCAGAGATTAACAGATTAATTAAGCATTTTTTCTCTGCCCAGAAGTCCAATGGTAAATCTTCCCTCTTCAAGTTGGCAAGGTGTTACTATCTTTGGGCAAAAATGGCCGTTCCCAGACTAAGTGATCGCGATGAAATAAAAAGTTTCATTTTTTTGCTGTTTAACGCTAAATTCATTAAATCACCGCAAATGTTTTAGTTTTAGGTGTAAATAATGATCCATTGGCTAACTGGACTTTTCTTTTAATAACAGACTTCCTTCTTTCTTAATCAAAGGTTATAGATTCTCTGCAGGGTTAAGGTCAGGCGTGATTGCAGGTAGATCCATAGTAGAGTAACCACAGTAATCAAAGCAGGTTTATGTTTATGCATTTAGCGGATGTTTTTTATCCAAAGTGACTTATAAAGCAGACACAATTTTACATTTATCAACAATGTGGCAATACATTCAAAGAAGTAGAAGTGCAGAAAGAGCAGTCGAGGGGTAACAGTTAGGTTAGAAATGCTATTGGTATTGGTACTGTGGTCAGTGCACACAAGCAACAAAGAAATGAAAATTAAATCAGCATCTCTATATGTAGCTTGTGTGAAGTTATTTGTAATTTTCTGGTACAGGGTGTGTTACTCAACGTTTCCATATTATCTCAGACTGTTCAGGAGCAGATTAACACGTGTAATAATCCATGTTCTGGATCTGTCTGTGTTCAGAGGATTTTAGGCCCCGTCCACACGAAGTCAAAACGAACACGGAACGCTGATATTTTCCAAAACGTGTGCCGTAAGGACGGAGACGTAAAATAAATGTGAGCGTCCACACGAATGCATGAAAACGCTGCAAAATGTATGCCAGGCCTGTAAGTGGCGCTGTGGTGCCAAAGCAAAAATAAGCGACGAAATGTTGGGCATGCGCACTAATATTTATACATGGTTGCCCTGCGGGTCTATTTTCGTGGTTAAGTCAAATTCAGGTGCTGAACTATGTGGTCGATATTGCTCTGTTCTTCCTGGAGATATTCCAGAAGAAGAAGATTCTGTTGTAAGCCCGACAGCAGGGTGAGTAGCATTAGCAGCAACGGCGCCATTGTTGTTGTGATACTGGTCACGCATGCGTGTTTAGAGGCGACGCTATGACGCATGCGTGTAAAAAAAAATATGCGGTTAGAGCGTAAAGATGGAAACGCGAAAACGGCGTTTCGAAATCTTCCCACTCTGAAGGCTGAATAAAAAAAAGATCGTTTACAGACCCCCGAAACGCCGGCTTCGTGTGGATGAGAGGCTGGTTTGGTGAAAAATTTGTGCGTTTAGGCCAGGGAACGTCTTCGTGTGGACGGGGCCTTAAAGCTCTGATTTCTTAGAGCTTTTTAGAGGGAAAAGTCATACCCTATTGTTGCTGCTCTTTTTTTTTATTCAAACTTTTTCCTTCCAGTTACACAGTGAGCAGCCGCTTGCTTAGTGATGACTTGTGACCGACTCTCCTTGTGATGGAGATGGTGACGTTTTGCCAGCAATGTTTAAGTCAGCAGGTTTCCTCATGATTTTCTGTCATAACAGAACGTCCCTGTTGAAAACTTCTGATGCAAGATTTTCATTTTTCAAGAAACTTTCTTTTCAGTTTTTATATTTTCTCAGATGAAGTAGTTTAGCTCAGTGTGCAGAAACCTTAAAAATCAGGGGTTTAAACAGAAGCTGCTCTGTTCTAGCCTGCTGGAGAGAAGGAGGAGGGATCAATGGGATGCATCTTTCCACTAAACTCACCACAGCAAAGTTTATTTGGTCCAAATTAAATATGAAGATAAGGCCTGCTTGTACTGAAGCACAGCCAGGCTTCAGTTTCTGCTCTAACTGGGTTTTTCCTGCTTAGTCAGGGTTTCTGTGAGCTTGCTGTGGGTGGAGACCCACAGACGCTACAAGGAGGTACTTGTTGCTGGGGTTTGGGTGGGGATTGGTGGTTAGTATGGGTGGTGGCATCTCAACAGGGAGCGTGTGTGAGGAGAGGAGGGGAGCAGCTGCTTAAAAAGGAGCACTTTGTTTCCCTCAACATGTGTACAGCAGCATGAATCTGTCTAAAAAACACCTTCAACTCTTCATAGGAGGTCATGGCCAAAAGCTTCATGCTTTCAACAGTTTTAGAGGCTTCTTTCCTTGCTTCAATGCAAGGCTAACACTTTTTATGCTTTAAAGCACTTTAACTAGATAGTTTATTGAGTTTCTCATTATTTTAAATATTCATAACGTCTCTCATACTTGATGTTGGCTTCTTCGGTTCTGATCTGACAGCAAGTGGAAAACCAAAATGTTCGGATATCAGCTTCTGTTCTCCAGCTGTCCAAAACTAACAGAAAGAGAACAGTTGGCTTCATTCTGTGGCCACCTCTAGAGGTTTTCCTGGACAGTTTCCTCTTCCTGGTCTGGATAGGTGAAAACATTAACCATACTACGTCATAGGAAGAGGCGGTTCACCTCTAGGTATTTGGAAACTCCTGGACATCCTAAAATCTCCTTCACTGGAGCTCGAGCGCTTTCCTAAGTTATTTTACTCAGACATGAACTTATCATTGGAGACGGAGTGGTTTCAGAATTCGGAGCTCAAATAAAAATCCAGCAGTCTGTTTGGAGATTTTCCTCGCTGCTCCTTTTATTTAAGTGTCAAAGTTAAGTTTGGGCCTTGAGAATTGATCAGAACTGGTTCCAACCCTTCAATTCTCCAACAATTATTGAATTCTTTAATTTTCCATCCGTAGTTTATATTATATCAGAGTTCATAGGTTTGATATTTATAAACTGGTTGAAAACAACTATGTGATCATTTATAGCAGGCATCACCAAACTCAGTCCTCGAGGGCCGCTGTCCTGCAACTATCAATTAAAATCAGCTGTGCTGGAGCAGAGAAACATCTGAAACCTGCAGGACAGCGGCCCTCGAGGACCGAGTTTGGGGATGCCTGATTTATAGTGATGTTCACACAAAGTTAGAAGTTTAGATCCTTTCATCCAGACAGAAGTCAGGTAGTCAGCTCATTTATAACATGTAAACCTTTATGATTCTAAGTATCAGAATCAAGAACCGACAGGAGCCAGAATTGTTCAAATTCAAGCAATGCCCAAAAATAGTCAGAGTGCTGATCTCATGGATTGTAGCTTTAATCAATATAATCAGAGGTGATGTAGTTGATTGACTAATGTAAAAAAGGAAGATGCAATAATGAACATCTGGTTTTTGATTATATTTATGAACCTGCAGAAAGGCTGCAATGTAATCAAAAATTTTGCATGAGTTAAATCTCTTTCATCTGTTGTAATGCTTTTCTTTTAATCTAACAAAGCAACTCATCAGTGCCCATTTTTAATTTGTGTTGGACTATGGCAACCTTCACAAGACCAACACAGTTCATCATTCTGCCATTAGATTTATAACAAACTCCAACAAATAGACCAGGTTCTGTTCTTGGGTGGGATGGCTTTCTTTGACTACCTACAGGCTTCGTCATTGATCCACTTTTTATGTATAAGGACTTGCTTCAATCTATCTGTGTGAAATGAAAAAAATTTGGATCTGAACTTCCAAGATTCCAGAGGAGGAGCAGTAAATGGTTAACCTGACTCCGCCAGATGGATTTGCTCCGCATATCTATCTGGAAACCTTCCGTTGAAGTAATTTTGGGAAGGGGCAAAAATACTGGTTAGCTGATTGGCCTATGTTGGTGATAGACGGGCCAAATAAACCAATCAGATCAACGAAGCATATGACGTACTAACAGAGCGACGACGAAGAGGAGCCAATTGATAGATCAAACTCTTGCTGAAACCAGTCGGGAGAAGAGCAAAAACATCTTTTCCTCTGAGAAAAGCCTCCAGAGCAGTGTTTTGCTCTTCTTTCAGTGAAGAAATACTCTGTAATTCCCATAAAACTTGCTCGATAGCCACGCTAACGCTACTTTCATCGGCTGAAGCCGCCATGTTCTTTAGACTGAACTGTCGCGCTTCACGTTGCGTCACACCTCAACCCGCCTCAAAGCCAACACTGATTGGACGTTCGTTTGGTGAACGGCTCCAAATTTTCTTTAACGGAGAGACTCCAGACTGATCTGCGAGTGAAACCTTGAATGCTCGCGAGATAAGGATGGCTCTCACGAGGCTAGTAAATGGCACGTCCAAGGTTTTTTAGTTTTTTTGGGGATTGCAGGTGATCTACAATGATTACAGCATTAATTTTTTTTTTTTCCACATATTTTTATTGGAAAAACACATTATAATGTTTTCAATCATAGAAATACAATTTACATTTTCCCTTTTTTTTTTTTTTCCTTAACACATGCATATGCACACGGAAACATATACACTCAGAAAAAACGAGGATAACTACACAAAAACAAAGCAAAAACCCACTCTAATAATAAAGTAGAAGAAAATAATTAAATTGAATTACAGTGCCGTGTGGTAAACAATGAACCACCCCCCACCCGGCTCAACACAACAAACAAACATAGTACTGGTTATCTGTTCAATATATATATAAAAAAAAATAAATAAAAAATACAACAAAAACAGACACACATTCAATTGGGTAAAACGTCCAAATTAGTAAAATAAGAAATAAAAGGTTGCCATTTGTGGAAAAATTTGACTGTACATCCTCTCATTGTGAATTTAATTTTTTCAAGTTTCAGAAAAAACATGACATCTTTGAGCCATAGAGAGATAGAAGGATATCTGGCAGACTTCCAGTGTAATAGTAAGGAACGTCTTGCTAGTAAGGATGTGAAAGCTATAATGTCCTTTTTTGTAGGGTTAAGTGCAATTGAGGGGTTAGGAATACCAAATATAGCAATCAGAGGACAAGGCTGAAGGTTTACCCCAAGAACAGAGGACATAATAGTAAAATAATCCGCCCAGAAACTTTTCAAATCAGGACAAAGAAAGAACATGTGGCTAAGGTGAGAAGGAGAGCCATGACATTTATCACATTTGTCTTCCACATCTGGATACAGTTCAGATAATCTTGACTTGGAGAAATGTGCCCTGTGTAAGACCTTAAATTGAATAAGTCCAAGACGAGCACAAGAGGTGGTAGTTCGTACCCTTTCTATGGCCTGTTTCCAGGACTCCTCATGTATTTGTATTCCCAGTTCCCCCTCCCATGTACACTTAAGTTTAGCATTAGAGTGGTTGCCAAAAGTTAAGATGATATCATACAGCTTTGAAATGATTCCTCTATGATGAGGAACAAAAGAAAGCATGGTTTCCCACTGGTGTTCTGGAGGTAGAGAGGGGAAATTAGGGAAACACTTCGCCACAAAATTGCGAGTTTGAAAATAGCGAAACAAGTGAGTAATAGGGAGGTTATAACGAGATGACAAATTGGTAAAACTATCAAAAACACCCTCTACATATAAAAATCTAAGCTGTGTAATACCCTTGTCATGCCACTCTGAAAATGTCGAGTCCAAAAGTGATGGAGGAAATAGATGGTTGCTATTTAAAGGACCCAAGGTAGATGCAGCCACAAATTTAAAGTGCCGTCGAAATTGGTACCAGATTTTGAGAGTATTAAGAACCACTGGATTATCGGTATATAGAGAAGGCCTTGTAGGTAAAGAGGAATAAAGTAAAGCAGGTATAGAGGACCCCCTACAGGATGATAGTTCCAATTTGCACCAAGAGGATAGAGGAGATTTTAACCAGTAGCAAATTTTATGGATGTGAGCAGCCCAATAGTAAGTTAGAAAATTGGGTAATGCAAGCCCCCCACTAAGTTTGCATCGCTGCAGTAAAGCTTTACGAACCCTAGGTGGTTTCCCACCCCAGATAAAAGAGCAAATTATCTTATCCAGTGAAACAAAAAAATGTTTTGGCAGAAAAAGAGGAACGGACTGGAATAAAAACAAAAATTTTGGTAAAATGTTCATTTTAACAACATTGATCCTGCCAATTAGTGAAAGGGGGAGGTTACCCCATCTCTGAATATCGGATGTAATCTTTGAGATAAGGGGAGTGAAATTAGCAGATGCAAGGCTAGACAGAGAACGTGTCACATTAATACCTAAGTATTTAAACCCTGATGGACTGAATTGAAAAGGTAAATCTGACTGTTGAATATGACATGCTGCAGTGTTAATAGGGAAACACTCACTTTTTGCCAGATTCAATTTATAACCTGAAAAGGTGCTGAAGTTCTCCAAAATACTTAAGACAGCAGGAATAGAAGATGTAGGATCGGTTATATATAATAACAAATCATCCGCATACAGCGATAATTTATATTCAATTCGATTGCGGGTGATTCCTTTAAATAAGGAGGAGGATCTTAATGTAATAGACAAAGGCTCGATAGCAATGGCAAAGAGCAAAGGCGATAAAGGACAACCCTGGCGACACCCACGTCCAAGGGCAAAATAATCAGAATAAGCATCATTGGTATGGACACTGGCCTTAGGGGATGAATAAAGGAGGCGGATCCAAGAGATAAATTTGTCGCCAAAACCGAATTTCTTTAAAACCGCAAACAAGTACTCCCACACCACCCTATCGAATGCCTTTTCGGCATCTAAAGAAATCACAAGTTCAGGAAGTTCAGCCGAATGTTTAGAGTAAATTACATTGAAAAGTGTACGGACATTAAAAAACAATTGACGTCCCTTTATAAAACCATTTTGCTCCTCGGATATAATATCAGGAAGCACATTCTCTAAACGGGATGCAATTACTTTAGCCAACACCTTTACATCGGCATTAAGCAGAGATAATGGCCTGTATGAACCACATGAGGTTGGATCCTTGTCCTTCTTAAGAAGGAGAGCAATAGTGGCTTGTGTCAAGGTTGGTGGTAATAATCCATTTTCCAAGGATTCATTGAATACTGATAAAAGCAGCGGTGCCAATTTGATTACAGCATTAATGTTCAGAAATACGAAACACTGTTTGGTTCCACCCATTAAAATGAGTAAAAACCTAAGTTCTGATGACATGTAGCCATGTAGCTGGAGGTAGTAATGACAAAAGTTTTATTAAAAAAAATAAGTAAATAAATTCTAAGTCTAAAAAAAAAAAATTTAAAAAATTAAAATAAAATTTTTTTTTATTGTATATACTGTGTCTAAACATCCTCTATTTTCTTGTATGTGCAATTTTTCCTGCTACTGGAAATATAATTTCCCGAAGGGAGTAATCCCAAGCGATTAATAAAGTCAAGTCTAAGTCTAATAATTATGATACTAAATAATATTTACATAGGTAGCCAACCTTAAAATGATGAATTAATTAAATATAATAAACAAGGGAGCCGATTCTGTGGACATTATTGTTGGTCTTTTAGGGATTAACACAAATATGTGCAGCTTAAAATTAACAAGACCCTTAATCCCAGTGAAAAAGAAGATAAAAGGTCTATTTTTAGCTGTAATTTTTTAGCCATTATCTGGAAACTCTCTGCTGTCCCTCAGGTACGTGGCCATGAGCCACCCAACGTCTGTGCACCTCTACTTCCTGTCGGACCAGTTCCAGGGCTACCTGGTGCGTCACGTGGCCACCAACCGAGCCTCCACCCAAATGGAGACCCTGGAGACCTGGGTGACACCCAAAGACCATTTCACCCTGTCCAACCAGCCTCACACCAGTAACAGACTCCAGCACATCCAGGTCAGACCACATCAGAACCACTAATCCAACCTGAAGTCCAGTTGTTTGTTTTTCTGAGGATTTGTCTATTAGAAATGATAATCAGCTCTGATCTGTTCTTAAAATGTTTGTCCAGTTGAAGCTGAAGAGATTCACAGTCTGGTTGTTTCAGGTCGGGTCAGACTGGGATCCAAAAGAGCGCATCTTCAGGAACTGGGGGGGTCTTCTGGGACCCGAGGACGAGCCTGTAGCTGTGCAGCGCTGGAGCCGAAGCCAGAGCAACCTGACTGCCACTGTGGTCTGGATCGACCCCACCAACGTCATCGCCGCCACCTATGACATCCTGGTGGACGCGTCCGCCGAGGTCACCCACTACCGGCCGCCTCTCACCGCGCCGCTGCGACCGGGCGTCTGGAAGCTGCGGGTGCTTCACCACTGGAACCCGCTGGGTCAGACCAGCTTCATCGTTGCTCCGCTGGAGTTTCACCGACAGCAGCCCATTCAGAAAGGTGTGCAGGACAGTAACTCATGCTTCCCGTCACATGGGTCACATGTAATCAAGCCCATGGTTATCTGGTGCAGAGCATCTGCACTCTGCAAATGCTTTAGAGGGTTCGGTGCAGCTCAGAGGAGATCAGATTTAGACTGTGAGTGGAGGTCCTGCTCCCTCAGCTGACACCACGTGCAAACATATTAATAGTTTTAGTAAGTCGTGGACACACAGGGTCACCTCCGTCTGATTAGGCCTCCCCCTCCTCACAGTTAAACCTCAGTGGGAGCTGTGGGTCTCCAGAGGCCCTAAGTAAAGACCAGTGACACGACAAACGTTCCTTGGGCTGAAAAGGGCTGCAGGACTGAAGGGGAGGATCACTGCTGTTTCTATGCAGAATGGACAATCTAAAGAGCCAATTTTAACCTGCAGCCTTTCACTAACATAATTGTTCCTGTTTTTTAGCTGAATCAAAGAAAAACATTTGTTTGATGAAAGAGAAGAAAATAGGATTTTAGATCCAACATGATACCAAACAGCAGTAGGATAAAACTGAGATGAAGTGGCTCTAAAAACTCATATAGGTTTGTGACAAAGCAAAAAATGAAAAAAGTTTTCATACCCTCCGTATTTCCCAAAATCCTTAATGTGACCACCACAGTACCATGGAAAACAAAGATCAGTAAAATGTGGTGTCAGTTTATCAACAGTCCCGTTTACTCTGATACTGTCATGGTTTTATCTACATTGCAAAAAAACGGATCTAAAATAAGTGTATTTGCTTATAATTTGAGTTGGTAAATCTGATGATTTGCCAATAGAATCAGTGTTTTACCCTTAAAATAAGATTATTGGATATTATGCACTTGAAATAACAGACTATAAATGTTTTGTAGTCTTCTCACTCCATTCGCAAAGTGTCTCACTTTCCTGCTCAGTTTCAAGAGAAAATGCATTTATTTTAGAAAAATATAATTAGATTTCAGTTTATTTGCAGTGTAATGCAGTGCAGGAAGGACTCTCAGTTGAAGTAGAATTAGTAAAATAAACTTTATTGCACATAAAGGGAAGGTGAGAAAAATTATCCAGGTCAGGAGGAGAAAGAAAGTGGGAGCTGGAAAGAGAGGAACAATGAGTAACTGGGGAATGAACCAAACAAGAGGGTCTAGATCTGGGCTTATGGAAGAACTGCCCCCAGGGAGATGTGAGTAGATCTGGGGTTTGTGGATGAATTGATGAAGTGATCCAGAGGGAAGTTGGTGTAAAGCAGATGCTGCTGCAGGTAGAACCCGGTGGTTTGTGCAGAGATACTAGAAAGGAGGTTACCAGATATGGATGAGTATCCAGGAGGATCAGAGAAGCAGGCAAACAAAACTCCTGTTTGGATTAACTGAGTGTGCAACTGAGTGTGCAACTGAGTGTGCAGCTGTTCAGAGGATCTCCATCTGAAGTTAAGTTATTTTCTCTGTGATATCTCTATATCTAAGTAACTCTAACTGACTACTTTAAAACATAGCACCTTCTGCTGCACTTTTCTACTGAGCACTTGTCAGTTTCACACGGTTTTATTTCTGATAGCAAGAAGTAGCTAGCCTAGGCTAGCGCTAGCTTAGCATTGCTATGGCTTCTCTCTCTCCCTCCCTTGACTCTTTTCCAACTCTTCCTTCTTCCTCTCCTCTCTCCTGCTCTCTGTGTCAGATGTTCAGTTATTCCTCTGCCTCCTTTAGTGATAATGGGATGTGTAATAAGTGTAGTATTTTTGTAGCTTTGGAGGCGAGGGTGTCAGAGTTAGAATCCAGGCTTCAGGCTGTTGAAGTAGGCCCCCCACGTAGCTGTCCTCCAAAAGTGCCTGAGCAGCCAGGCGATTGGGTAACTGTACGCAGAAAGCGTAGTCGTGGATCTCTGCCCACTGGTCACCACCAACCCGTTCACGTTTCTAACCGGTTTTCCCCACTCAGTGACACACCCACTGAGAAGCCCACTCTGGTGATTGGCAGCTCCATAGTCAGAAACGTGGCATTAGAGACACCAGGGACCATAGTCAAATGTTTGCCGGGGGCCAGAACGGGCGACATCAAATCCTACCTGAAACTACTGGCTAAGGATAAGGTTAAATACAGTAAGATTGTTATTCACGCTGGTGGTAATGACACCCGGTTACGCCGATCGGAGGTCACTAAAATTAGTGTTGCTTCGGTGTGTAAGTTTGCCAAAAAAATGTCGGACTCCGTAATTTTCTCTGGTCCCCTCCCTGATCTGACCAGTGATGACATGTTTAGCCGCATGTCGTCATTCAATCGCTGGTTGTCTAGGTGGTGCCCTGAAAACAACGTGGGCTACATTAATAATTGGCAATCCTTTTGGGGAAAGCCTGGTCTGATTCGGAGAGATGGCATCCATCCCACTTTGGATGGTGCAGCTCTTCTTTCTAGGAATCTGGCCACATTTATTAGTCCTCCAAAACCCTGACCACCCAGGGTGCAGACCAGGAAGCAGAGTTGTAGTTTAACACACATCTCTGCAGCTTCTCTACTGTTACCCACTCTTTACTCCATCCAGACAGTGTCTTGCCCACGACCAAAATCTAATAAATTAGCAAAGATTCCCAAAGGAGTATATCATGATAATCTAATTAAAATCAAAATAACTCCAATTGGGGAAAAAGTTAAAACAATTAAATGCGGTCTGTTTAACATAAGATCGCTTTCCTCTAAAAGTCTACTAGTTAATGACTTGATTTGTGATAATCACATTGACTTGTTTTGCCTTACAGAAACCTGGCTGCAGCAAGAGGATTATGTGAGCATAAATGAGGCAACTCCTTCAAGCTATTTAAATTTTCACATCCCCAGAAGTTCTGGGCGAGGAGGAGGAGTAGCAACAATCTTCGAGTCTGACTTACTGATTACTCCCAAAACAATTAATTCCTACAACTCTTTGAACATTTAACCCTTAATTTCCCTGATCCAAATTTCAAGGCAAGAAAACCTCTTCTTTTTGTAACTTTGTATCGTCCACCAGGTCCTTACTCTGAATTTTTAGATGAGTTTTCAGAGTTCCTTTCTGATTTGGTATTAAATACTGACAGGGTCATCATAGTGGGAGATTTTAACATCCATGCTGACATTGAAGGCGATAGCTTAAGAGCAGCCTTTAATGCTATCTTAGACACTATTGGCTTTGTTCAAAATGTGAATAGTCCCACGCATTCTCATCTTCATACTTTGGATCTTGTGCTGACATACGGCATAGAATGTGAAGAAATAACAGTATTTCCTCACAACCCTGTCCTCTCTGACCACTTTCTAATAACCTTCAGGATTACTTTAACAGAGTTCTCCTCCCCCAAAAGAAGGTTCAATTTTAGTAGATCTTTATCAGATAGTGCAGTTATAAATTTTAAAGAATCTGCTTCACTTTCTCTCTGCTCTGTGTCACTGAGCAGTGCTGCAGAGTGCAAAAGCTTAGCTTATTCCCCTTCACAGGTTGATGATTTTGTTGAGGGGGTTGCTAGTTCTCTGCGTATTGCCTTAGACAACGCAGCTCCTTTGAAAATGAAAACCGTTAAAAATAGAAAGCTTGCTCCTTGGTTTAATGCAGAGCTGCGTACTTTGAAGCAAAATGCTAGGAAACTGGAGAGAAAATATCGCTCCACAGGCCTGCGAGAGTCCTTCCTAGTCTGGAAAAATGGTTTACTGCTGTATAAGAGGACCCTTTGTAAAGCAAGAGCAGCATACTTCTCCTCATTAATAGAGGAGAATAAGAATAATCCTAGATTTCTTTTTAATACAGTTGCCAAACTCACCCAGAGCCATAGCTCTGTTGAACCGTCCATTCCACCTGCTCTTAGCAGCAATGATTTTATGGGATTCTTTATAAATAAGATTGATCTTATTAAAAATAAGATCATAAGCACTCCTCTATCCGCGATTGTACCTGAGGTAGTCATGGAATCTGAACCGGGTTTAGACTGCTTTGATCCAGTTGAACTCTCTGAATTAGCAAAATTATTGTCTTCATCTAAGCCTTCAACTTGTATGTTAGATCCAGTTCCAACCAGGTTATTTAAGGAGGTATTCCCTTTGATCTCCTCCTCCATTTTAGATGTGATTAATCTATCTCTGTTACAGGGATATGTACCTAAAGCTTTTAAGATTGCTGTAATTAAACCTCTGCTTAAGAAACCGTCTCTTGACCCAGATGACTTGGTCTATTATAGACCTATATCCAATCTTCCTTTCTTATCCAAAATTCTTGAGAAAGTAGTTGCCAAACAAGTCTGCGATCACTTCCACCATAATGAACTTTTTGAAGAGTTTCAGTCTGGCTTTAGAGCTCATCATAGCACTGAAACAGCTCTGGTGAAAGTCACTAATGATATTCTCATGGCCTCAGATAATGGACTTGTATCTGTGCTCGTCCTGTTGGATCTTAGTGCTGCATTTGATACAGTTGACCATAATATTCTTTTAGAAAGACTTGAATATTTTGTTGGAATTAAAGGAACAGCACTAGACTGGTTTAAATCTTATCTATCTGATCGATCAAAAAAAATCCTCCTTCTCACATATAAAGCCTTAAATGGCCAAGCTCCATCTTATATCAGAGATCTGATTGTTCCTTATGTTCCTAACAGAGCACTTCGCTCTCAATCTGCAGGTTTACTAGTGGTTCCTAGAATTTCTAAAAGTAGAATGGGAGGCAGATCTTTTAGTTATCAGGCTCCTCTCCTGTGGAACCAACTACCAGTTTTAGTCCGTGAGGCAGACACCCTGTCTACTTTTAAGGCTAGGCTTAAAACTTTCATTTTTGATAAAGCTTCTAGTTAGAGTGGCTCAGGTTATCCTGAGCTATCTCTATAGTTATGCTGCTATAGGCTTAGACTTTTGGAGGACATAGGGACCCCCATTTCATCATTCTGCTTCATTCTCTCTCTGTTCTCCTATTCTGCAGAATCTGTTAGTTCAATCTCTAACCTTCTGCTCTCTCTGCTTTTCCTCAGAGTAGCTTTGCCTCGTCTGTTCCTGTTTGGCTGTGACGTCATCCTGGAAAAAAACATCAGCTGTGCTGCTTCTATCAACACCCTTGTTAATAGATGTTGGAGATCGGCCTGTTTTCCAGTGTGGTCCTGTTTCTCTGACCGTGACTGAGTGGATGTGCTCTCTTCGTCCTCTGGCATGGGAGCTGCCTTGGAGCTCGTCTGCCTGGCTGTGTGTTTCCTGGACGGGGCCGCCTTTTACAGCTGCTTTTTGTATCTCTGCTTCTGTCTCCTTGAACCCCAGTCGGCCTCGGCAGATGGCCGCTCACACTGAGCCTGGTTCTGCTGGAGGTTTCTTCCTGTTAAAAGGGAGTTTTTCCTCTCCACTGTTGCTACAAGCATGCTTAGTGTGGGGGATTGTATTTGAGTCAATGAGTCAATGCAATCAACTGGTTTTCCTTAGATAGAAAACTTTGTATCAATTTGACTGTATGATCTGGTTGAACTGTAAAGTGCCTTGAGATGACATGTGTTGTGAATTTGGCGCTATATAAATAAACTGAATTGAATTGAATTGATTGTGAGGATCTGAGGGGCTTGATGTTACCATGGAAGGATAACAATCAGGGTTAACCCACATAGATGCAGGACAAGTAATCAGTCCAGCAGCAGCCTCAGGATGCTCTGCGTTGGATAACCTATAGAATAACAAAACAACAACCACCTAAAAACCCTGATTCCTGACTGATAACCCTTAATAAAAATCCAGAGCATAACTTTTAGAGGTCAGCTGATTGGGACATAAGAAAACACCTGTGTGTAATTTAATCTCCAGCGTTTCTTTTTCTGCTCTCAGAGGCTGGGACATTTAGATTTGTGGAGGAAATTCCCTATTTTTCCAGAAAAGCTAGTCAGAGATGATTCAAGGGTGCCGAACACACAATATTTTTATCTGGTCAATTATTATTATTAAACAACCTTCTTCACCTTCAGAGCTATGTGCTGATTTATATTGGCCTGTGAATACTTTAGCAGAGTATTTCTAAGGTTATATAGTCTGATATAGAGATAGAAAGATATTGATTATTTTGACATCAGTCTATTTTTCAACCATTAGTTCTGGAGCCTCATTGGACCTTTCAGCATGGCTCTGAAGTTTGGATGGAAATTGATAAAGAAAAGATAAATACATTTTAAAATAGATATAAAATGCATATTTGAAGATTTTATCATTGTGTAGCTGCATTAGATCTCCAACTCAAAATGATAAATAAGCAGTAACAATCTTTTGGTAACAATCATTTTTCCAAGTGTGAAGATTTTTCTCCTTGCAGGTTTTTTTTTTATCTTAAAACCCTGAAAATATTGTGGCTTTCTAAACATGACAAGTATTTTATTATAGATATTCATAAAGAATGATGCCTTATTAAAAAGCATCATGTAACAGTAGGGGCTCTTAAGAAGTTCGATTTAGCTGAATTCGGGGCCAGTGTGGCCTTGTAGACTTTTAAGTTTGCAGATACTTGATATGTGTTCTGATTCTTGAAGCCTATTTTGTTTTTTTCTTCCTCCATTTACATAATAGAGATGCAACAAAACCCTCAATGTAGACCAAAAACAAATAGTTATTAACAAATCAAGCATAACGTAAACAACGAATGGCCAAAGGATGAAGTGCAAGGCATGCGCTTTATGTGATCTCAAAGCATGGCGGCTGAATGAACTGATAAATCGGTGAACACATGAAATTATTGGCCGATACAGGAAAATAATATCAGCCAGCTGAGTTATCAGTCTGCCTCTAGTTTTATGGTGTGTTTCCTGTGAACCCTAAAGAGAACCCCTTAATTTAAAGATGTTGGTTTGATTTTAAAGTTTCTTCTGTCTGTCCTCCTGTCCACACAGAGGATACACTGCGGCTTCACGGCGGTCCAGCCAGGAATGCCTACATGGAGCAGAGCTTCCACGGTTTGAACCCGGTGCTGCGGCTGCCGGTGAGTCTCAGCGCCGTGGAGGAGGCCGAGGCAAACTCCGCCCTGACGGGGGCGCCGCTCAGACGCTGGCTGGACGGCCTCCTGGCGGGCCACTGGTCCGCCTCGGACGTCTGCTCCCTTGGCCCCAGCGCCTGCCCCGTCATGCAGCGATGTCCCCTTACAGCATGGAGCTCAGCCAGCCCTGACCCAAAATCTGAACTGAGCAAACCCAGAGAGAACGGGCGGATCAGGTAGCAGTGGGATGGACGGAAAACGGAGAGAGACGGATGAAGAAAGGCACCTTTGTGTCTGGTATTTATTTATTTAAAGATTCCAGGAACCGAAGAGGAGAATCCAAACTCAGTCTGATCCCACTTCAGTTTGGGACGGTGAGGCTGCTGAGCAGAGCGAATGAATGTCACATCCAGAACCTCATACCTCTTGTTGAGTCTGAAGGAGCTGCCTCACATGTTCACACTGAAAACAGCTGTGGATGCTCGATTTAAAGGAGCAGCTCAGAAAAATCAGCCCCAATCCAAACGTTTTATTTCTTTATTTGATGTCGACCATCAACAGATGTTTAAACTCAACAAAAATATAAATGCAACACTTTTGGTTTTGCTCCCATTTTTTATGAGATGAACTCAAAGATGTAAAACTTTTTCCATATACACATTATCAGCATTTCCACAAACCAGTCTAAATCTGTGAAAGTGAACTTCTGCTGTGTGATAAATTTGAACTGTAAAGTGCCTTGAGATGACATGTGTTGTGAATTTGGCGCTATATAAATAAACTGAATTGAATTGAATTGAATTGATAAAACTGCAATTTTCAGAGTGGCCTTTTATTGTGTGCAGTATAAGGCACACCTGTGCACTAATCATGGTGTCTAATCAGCGTCTTAATAGGGCACACCTGTGAGGTGGGATGGATAGGGTTAGGGTTATCTCAGCAAAGTAGAAGTGCTCACTATCACTGATTTAGACTGGTTTGTGAACAATATTTGAGGGAAATGGTGATATTGTGTATGTGGAAAAAGTTTTTGATCTTTTAGTTCATCACATAAAAAAATGGGAGCAAAATCAAAAGTGTTGCGTTTATATTTTCGGTGAGTGTATAACTGGCCTTGATGTATTTCGCACAGTTCCTGAACAGCTTTGGGATGTATAGGGAGGAATGTTTCAGTAGTATTTCTCAGAGTTTAAGTGTGGAGCAAAGAAAATTCAAGTATTAAAAAAAAATCTTCCATTTTAAAAGGATATAACTGTTACTTTTGTTTTTAAGAACAAGTGCTCCCTCTAGTGGCATCGTACTGTAAATGTGGACCACATTAAGAAAGGTTTAAAAAATTTTTACAGACCAAATGCTGTACATGAACAAACATTTTCCTTAAAATAATATTGTTATACAAAAAACAAGCTTTATAAACCTCTGAAAAACTTTCAAAAATGTTGCAGTTGGAGTTTATATTGTAAATTTGTTTTTGTTCAGCACCAACATTTCCTGTAAAGTTTAGATGGACCCAGGATTTGATTTTGTTTTTTTCCTATTTGTATTTTAGATGCTGAGTTGGACTCAAATTAACTCAGCTATGTGTTTTGCCCATTTTACATCTAAAGAAGAAGATTGCTTCCTGTGAGCTTAGAAACATTCTCCTCATTAGTTATCTTGGAGTGAAGTGTTAGTCAATGATATGAACATGAACAAAGCTTACAAAGTTATTATTATTGGATATTTTAGACGTTAGACCTGAATTGTATACATGGCTGAAAATGCCGGATGATTGATGGATGCAGAAAAATACATTTTCAATGGTTGGATAAATCACAGATGATTGAATTTTTAGATAAAAATGAGAGGAAATTGATAGATATTTTAAGTTACTGGAAAATAGATTTTGGATTACAAATATTTGCATTCTTCTTTCTTTTCCTCTGCATATTAATCCACACCTGAAAATTCTCAACTCCAATTCCATCCTTTCTTCCAGACTGAGTAGGAACTGTTATGGATGTAATTTATCCCATAAACCTCCTCAGCAACCACAGGTGTTTTCACATAGAGTCCAGCTGGAGTCAGAGGGAGAAACTCCATAAAAACAACAAATCAAACGTTTTTCTCTTTTCTCACTCAGATGGTTTGCTGAAACATTTTCCCATTCTTTATTAAAACACGATCAAATGTGAAGAACTACCACAGTTTAGGACATTTTGTTGCCTAATCACCACCTGCTGGCGGGACATTTTTATTTCATTATTATCTATTGAAATAACAGTCCTCTGGTCATATCTGATAAGCAGATAAAAAGTGAAAAAAAATCTTTCTTGTTGAATATTTTCTTAACATGTCGAAGGTTTTTCTTCCCGTACTCCAGCTGCTCTGGTTTGTGTGAACTTCTGGGTTTTCTTTGTGCCATTTTCAAATCCTTCAGACTTGAAGTGAACCAATCCTGAAAGGAATTGATCTTCATATTTCTTTTTAATGTTTTCTCTCTGTGTTTCAAACATTTAGGACCTGCTGGAGTAATTTATTTATTTTTTTTCTTAGTAGTTCCTCATCTGAAGAGATTCTGTATGTGCTTTCTAGGGTAAAATATGTGCCTTTGTTTCTAAAGGCTGATTAAACTACTAAATTTTATTGATCACAGAGGAACCATCTTGATGAAGCTGTGATGTGCTTTTCTTTCCATCATGTTGTCTGAAAGATGGGAGACTGGATTCTTATTGAGTTAAATAAACACCTTTTAGTCTTCTCTGATGAAGAAATGTCTAATTTTACATTTTTAGTTCAGAAACTATCTAAATTTATGCCTTTTTGCTGCTAATTATTTCCATAATCTTCCTGCTCCTCAAAAAGGATAAAACTGAACATCAAGGTCGCCCTCATGTGGACAAACGGTGTAAAACTGACAACTCAAAATATTGAACATTTTAAAATATTTCAATGATCTGATATTTAATGATTATGATCTGATGAAGGCAGCCCGCATATCTGTTTTATGAATGTTGAATAATCAAGTATTTTGTTTTCTATGTTATGGATCAGAATGAAAGTTAATTTATTTTTACTAAATCAATTCAAAAACTGAGAGTATTATTTAAATAAATACACACAGAATGTTGTATTTCTAGCTCTAATTTATTTTGTTATTGTTTTTTTTATTTTATTTATAACTTTCAAAGATGAAAAGCCAAAATTCTTTTCTTAGAAAATTAGAATATCAGACTAATAAAAGATTCTTTTAATAAACTATTGTGGGTCTAATGAGTAGTATTTTCATGTACTATACTGTATCTCTGGTCATTGCTGCATCAATGCTGTGAAAAATGCAGCTGATCAACCTTCAGTTCTGCTAAGGTGTTGAAAGGGATTAATAGGCTTCTTCTTGACAATACTCAATGTTTTCCCTGCATTATTGATCAGGGTCATAAAAGCAGGTCCTGAGAGTTTATGTAGTGTGAGCCACAGCCAAATTGCACTTTCAATTAAAGCTGCATCTAATGTTTGTCAGCAAAGGAAGGAAAGAGTCTCCTTTTGGAACCACGTTCTTTCCTTTCACTCTTCTTTCCATTATAATATTGAATAAAGCACTTTGTAAACCAACTAGCTTTCTCAGCTTGTGTGTTAAATTGTGCAATAGAAAACTTTCCAATCAGAAATCTCTCCTGTTTATGTGGGGAGGACTGCTTTAAAATTTCTGAAACCCTGAATTTGAGGTTTTTATCAGAATTCAATAAAAAATATCCATATTGGATCATTTTGTTGAATAAATGAGAGTTTTCCTGTTTTGAACCAAAAGTGAAGCTGATGAACTGATATAAAGCTTTATGTGTTAAACAGTTGAAGCAGATCTGTGATGGCTCATTCCTTTTATTTCTGATTCAAAGATAATTTTGGGTGAAATGCTGGAAAAATTCGTCACCAATGTCTAAAGCCTGAATAAATGTTGGAAAACATCAACAAATGAACCCATATTTTAGAGCTAAAAGGTTAAATAAAAGCCTTGAAGTATTTATTCCCCGTCCTTAAATGATAACGTAAACCCCATCTATGGCTGCAGCCTAAGGAATTTTTGTTGGTTTTGATTTTTTTGATTCTCTGAGAAATATTTAAAAAATCAGGAAAGATGATTGGCTTTTTTTTTAACTGGCACAAAATTACAGAAATGTACAAACACTCCAGTCATTAGTAAACATAACTAGAGCAGATCAATGAAAATCTGGACTAAAACATTCGAATCTTTGTATATTTGAAATTCATGCAGATACTTTAAATCTTAATTCTGAACCCAAACGTGATTTCTTAACGAGACTTATCATCTTCATTAAGAATCAAGTCAATCAAAAACGCACTATTTGGTTGGTACGCTTTAAATATAATTTATCTTATGAATGGTAATTCCTAATATTTTCTATATAAACTGTCATTTTAATATGTCTGAAGCATACCACCACCAGACTCCACACGTGTGTGAAAAAGTTGGCTCGTGTTATGACTCTCACCTTTAAGATTACAAAAAAGGACCAGCAAAGACTCAACCTTCATCACTAACCATTTCAACATTGTTCCAACTGTAAAGTATGGCAAAGGGTAAATTATGATGCGGGGTTGATCATTAGAAATCAGGCTCAGCTCATTGGTTCTAGTTAAAGGAAACCTTAATATTTCAGCACACTGAGACAATTCATCAACAATTCATGCTCCCAGCCATGTGAGAACAGTTAGTGGACAGCTTTTTTCCCCTTCTAACATTGCACATATCAGGATCCCATTCAGACAGCTTTGAATTTATTCATAAACAATTTGTTTTACACTTTAAAGGGGAAGTAGTTCTAAACCCTCTGGCTTAAGAGCTCCTTTTTTTATCAGCCCAGGGGCGTCAGCTGACCCAATACTATACAGGGGCACAATAGGGCACCAAAAAAACTGCAAGCGCACAAGGCGCATGAGCAAAATAATTTTTGGGCAATTATTTATTTAAAAAGAGCATGGGCACAGATAATTAATGCAAGCAAATATTTTATAGCACTTATCTATTATCATAAAGCATCATAAATAAATTTTACAATCAGATTGTTATTTTCTGCATTAATAAATATCTACCTGAACCAAACTGAATTGAATTGGCCCACTTGTGAACTTAACTGCATATCTGTAATCTACTACTTATAAAGACACAATTGATTCTCATTAAATATCTGTCAGTAAACATGAACTTAAAAGCTGAAAACTTGAAATATGCAACTGTAAAAGGAAAAAAAATATATGTTTTTCTTTTTTTGTGAAGGGATTATTTGGGCCATTCATTTCCACATCTACTAAATGTATAGCTTGTAGAAAATGATTGAAAGCTCTGCTAATGTCCAGGAACCTAAACACGCTCACTGTTTTGTCTCATGTTTCTCATCTGTGATTTAAATAGTTTCTTGGCTTAATTGTCAGTTTCTGAATATTGTAAATATGTAATCTCTTTAAAGAATTAACCTGAATATTGGTATGAAAAGTAGTGCTTGGCACTTCCCCCTCATAAATTAGTTATTTTTCTAATTTTAGATTTTGCTTTACAGTTTGTTTCTGCTTATAAGATATATATAAGAGAAAAAATAATGATGAAACTAAATGAACTAAAGAAATCACAGCGGACACTGCGTTCAGTATTAGTCCGCCTTTAAATATCTGTATTGCTGCAACCCAGGTTAATAATAATAATAATAAACAAGGTGTTTT